GAAGGCAGTAGAGAGAGATGGAAACAGAGAACAATGAAATCAGAACTTTCAGGGGTAAGTTTGGGTGCTGATTACACCCTGCAGCCCAAGTTGATAACTTCTGTTTCCCAGCTGGAGTTCGCCATTTTCACACCAGGTTAAGCTAGTCATTGATGCTGTAATTCTAAGTGACTCATCTATTCCTTGTTCGAGGATGTGAGTTCTTCTTTTTAATTAGAGAAAAATTCCTGAAGCAGAAGTGACTGGTGGTTTTTGCATTTCAACTGAGTAATACCACTGAATGTTCCCTTTATGTGAATTAAAACAATAAATAAATAAGGTAAACTGCTTATCAGTGTGTGCTATCCTGTTGTTGCAGTCAAATGAGAACTCAGAAATGTGGTTGTAAAATGGCAGGCTTGAAGTCTTCGTTTTTCTTTTCTAACTGCAATTTATTTATTTATTTATTTTAAAGGTTTTATTGGGGAATTGGGGGAGGGGAACAGACAAGCTGCTGTCGTTTTGTTCTTCAGTCTAGTTGTGGAGGACGTCGCTTCACTGGCTCATGTTGGTATTATCATTGTGCTCTTCCCGGGTTAAGTAGATTGGTTGCCAGCCTCTGGACAGCTGCTCACGGTGGCTCTTGGCAGCACACACCAGCTGCCGGCCGCTCAGGCTGGCTGCAGGCCACATATGGTAGCTCACAGCAGCCCACTGCAGTGGAGGCTGCAGCCTACGCTGTAGCCGGCGACTCAGGGCAGCCCAGCTCCAGGTTGAGCTGTTGTTCACCATCTTAGCTGTAGAGGGTAGTGTCACTGGCCCTTGTGTGGGATCCTAACCAGGGTCCTGCTGCTCAGAGTGGCGTCCCAAGCCAGCTCTTAACCAACGTGCCACTCAGCCAGCCCTAGTCTTTGTTCTTTTGTTTGTAATATAATGCAAATACTGAGTTGTTGGAAAAGTCATGATGCATTTTTGGAACGAAAAACAGAAAAAATATGTCATGACTTTTCCGACAACCCAACAGTATGATTCAGTAATACTACAAAGTACACTAGAATGAGCAAAGGATTTGGCCCCAGAAGATGGTAGGACCAGTGCCAGTATTACCCCAGGAAATCACTACACACTTATCTCAGCCTCAGTTTCCTTCTCTGAAAAATGAGATACTACACCTCTTTAGATCCAAAATGCCAATGATTATAAGATGCACCACAGTTTTTGTTTTGAACTTTATTGGGGAACAGTGTGTTTTTCCAGGTCCCATCAGCTCCAAGTCAAGTCGTTGTTTTCAATCTAGTTGTGTAGGGCGCAGCTCAGTGGCCCATGTGGGAATCGAACCGGCAACATTGGTGTTGTGAGCCAACACTCTAACCAAATGAGCCAACCAGCGGCCCCTGCCACAGTTTCATATGCTACTAAAACAAGACAGAGAATTGTATTATTCCACTGTTAATGTAAATAGTTGAATTATTGTGACATTTATTGGTAATAAAGTCAAAATGTTCCAGAATATAAAAATATAAACCAATCCTCCTAAAATCAATTTGTTAACAATGTCTATTGAGGCTCTTTCTTCTCATGAGTCAAATCTTAACTCAAGATACAAAAGATTAACTGAAAAGGCAACTACCTCATAACTTTCCTATATGACTTCCAAAAGATGTGATACAATATCTCTCCCTAAGAAAGTGATTGGAGATTTACATTTACTTAACAGTGATAAGAACAAGAATTGTTTTTGTCAAAATGCAAATATGGGATCTTAAGTATTTTTTAGTCTAGCAGAAACCAGTAGTATTTGAATGTTGCAAATGAGTGAAGACATGAGCATGATTCCAAAGGCATAAAGTGAACTGGGTAAATGTATTCAGTTAGTGAGGTATGCAATGTAGATGGGGGGTGTATAGGTTGGGGGAAGAAGAAACAGGAGGAAAATACTGTAGGGGAACACAAGAGTTTGGGGGGGGGGGGAAAGACAACTGTGTAACAGAAATGAGAGAAAGAGCAAGGAAATCCAAGATGATAAATCTGAATGCTTCTGGCACATTTTCCTACTGAATGAGGCTTTCAATAAATGTATAGCCTGACTGAAAACAACACTCAGAAAATATCCAGAAAAGAAACATCAGCCTGCATTCAAACAGAGATGAAGAAGGGTGAGCTCTTTTCTTACCCAACTGATTCTACAAAAGAAAGTGTAGCTAAAGGATACACCACTGTGAGAGACCCAGCACTCGGGGCCAACATGAAGTGGCACCAGAAGAACCTCTTAGTGACAAGGCAGAAACACCACTTCAGTCGAGCCTAAGTAAGAATGATGATGTGTTACCTCATATAACCACACTATCGAATGGAACGAATGATCCAGAGACTCACACGACATCGACGCTCTTCTTTCATCTCTTTTCCTGGTCTTATTTTCTTACTTGGAGCACAGAACTTGGAGCACAGAAGGGGCCTCGGGTTTCCATCCTTATAGCTCATGAACCAAGGGTAAAAAACCAACAAAACAACATACCCTCTATCTGGGCAACGTTCATCAATGTATTCTAAAACCACTACCGGTAAGTGAAAGATTTATGGGAAACTTTATAATGGAGGGTCAAGGTGATGACCTCACCTGAACCCACTGGTTCAGCCAGACATTACAAGCGTCAAGCTGAGATGCAATAGGAAATATGTGCTCTACCAATGAGCCACACATACTAAAAAAAATTGAACCAGGATCTAATTAGGCCTTTAGATCGAACTATGAATTTTCAAATAACATGGAGGATACAGAAACAAGTTAAATGACATCATCAGTGAGAAATGGGCCAAATGAAAGAATTGTGTCTTTCCACGGGGCAAATATCCCGTTTCCCCAATAAACCAATGGCATGAAGAGAAATGGGGGGAGGGGCATTAGACGATAACAGAGGCCTAAGAGACATAGCAGCCAAATACAATGAGGAGCTATGGGACCTTGTTTCGATCCTTATCACAATCCAACAATAAAAAGCATCTTTGAAATAATCAAGGAAATTTGAACGTACAGTGAATATTAGGTGATATTAAGGAGTTAACTTTCAGAGGTGTGATTAATTTCTTTTTCTTCTTTTTTTAAATTTAGATACTCATCATTGGAAGTTTAAGTGGGGAATCACGTGCTCTAAAAGTACGGCGCGTCCTGGCTCGGCCCTCTCCGCACCACGGCTGCCTCGCCGACAGCACCTCTCCCGCTCGTCAGGCCTTCGAAGGAAGGCGTCAGGCGTGCTAAGGCATCGGCCGCGCTCGCCGCTCCCGGCATGCTCCACGGGCCCAGCGACGGCCGGAGAACCCTCTGTACAGCCTTCGGTCCCGCGACCGGACCTCTTACCCAAGGTGCCCCGGGAGCTCATTTGCATGTTCCACCCGACAGGTAAACCCGGCAGGTCAGTCGCGGCCCAGCGATCCCAGTACCAAACGTGGGAACCTCATGAGGCGATTAAGTTGCATCAAATTTCCCTAAACGTCCCGAGGTCGCTGGGAAGGCGCGCAGTTCAGTCACCCTAAGTAAGAGAGACGAGAGGCGCCTCGCCTTATATACTCTGTTGGCGAAGGTTGTAGCGTGCTCGCTTCGGCAGCACATATACTAAAATTGGAACGATACAGAGAAGATTAGCATGGCCCCTGCGCAAGGATGACACGCAAATTCGTGAAGCGTTCCATATTTTGTGCCGAGCCACAACCTCCTCACACCTCTTCCTAATTAAACCCCCAAGATACAATGAATTCAAAGCACAAGGCACTCAATAGCAAAATGATGGCTTAGTAAAAGTTTTAGTGTAAGGCAATCTGAAATGAAAACAAAGCAGAGTTACAACATGGATATTTATGTGTAAATATGTTGATTTGCATTTCCTTCGTAAACCTTAAAAGTTCTGAAATCGGCTTGTGGTCTTGTATCCCTCAATAGCGCAAATCTCAGACCCAGGTGGGTTGGCTCTTTTTCAGTAGAAGACTGACTGGCCCATAAATTGCTCGATGAATCCTTGACAAATCATTTCTAAATTATTAAGTTGCTAAATTATTGCTGAAACAATGAATCCTTACTAAAAGAATTAACCAACATTAGTGCACATTTCTTGTGTCTACTATGTGACATTCTTCGGTCGTGTTAGACCTGAGTGCGTACTCCCAAGTCTCAGACTGCGAGCTGCACAAAGGCCGAGACTGCTGCCAAGGAGTGGAGGTCAATGTTGGTCGTTGCTTGTGGATTCTAGAGCTCCAGAATCAACTGAAAACTGGCTGGAAGCAGCAAGCCCATTCCCATTCGGAAAGACAAGCTGCTTTGTATGCCTGTTTTCATCTGGCCTTGAAGGAGCACTCAGAAAAGCCGGTTTACCTAAAACGGACAGATTCTGTAATGGGAAATGTGATCAAGAAAAATGTTCATTGCTCGAATCCAAAGCAGCTTGTAACTACTAGTAAAAACCAGCATTGGGATGCAGACACCAGGATTACCTAGGTCACTTAATGTAATAGAAAAGTGACTGACCAGCTGTGGGGATGGGGATGGGAGATTGGGTCGCTGGATGAGACCCGGAAAGCCTCGGCGCAGACCCATTACGATTCTCTCTTGGAGACCACTCCTAACCCCATCTTCTGCATTCATCAGCAAGCTGTGGCTCGGCACAAAATATGGAACGCTTCACGAATTTGCGTGTCATCCTTGCGCAGGGGCCATGCTAATCTTCTCTGTATCGTTCCAATTTTAGTATATGTGCTGCCGAAGCGAGCACGCTACAACCTTCGCCAACAGAGTATATAAGGCGAGGCGCCTCTCGTCTCTCTTACTTAGGGTGACTGAACTGCGCGCCTTCCCAGCGACCTCGGGACGTTTAGGGAAATTTGATGCAACTTAATCGCCTCATGAGGTTCCCACGTTTGGTACTGGGATCGCTGGGCCGCGACTGACCTGCCGGGTTTACCTGTCGGGTGGAACATGCAAATGAGCTCCCGGGGCACCTTGGGTAAGAGGTCCGGTCGCGGGACCGAAGGCTGTACAGAGGGTTCTCCGGCCGTCGCTGGGCCCGTGGAGCATGCCGGGAGCGGCGAGCGCGGCAGGCGCCCCAGCGGGGCAAGCGAGGCGACGCGTAGTCCGTGAGGCATCCGTGGTGAGGAGCGAGCTGGGCCGGGTTGGCACAATCAACGCGGTCTCTCCCCAAATGGTTGGCCTTTTGGGCCACGAGGGCGCTGGGTCACTAGGGTTCTTAGTCGAACATGGGGTTTCCCAGCAAAATATGGAACGTATCACGGATGTTTCACCCGTGACACAGGGCCTGTGCCAGTTGCAGAAGGCGTTGTTGAAATGAGCCCAGAGCCCAGAGTCCAGCTCTCCTGGAAATTCCTCCTAACGACTCGACCACTGAGTTCTAGACCCCGAGCGCCACATTCCATTTTGCACCCGGCGCTGCGAACTTAAGCCCAAGTGCCTCGGACCTCAGGCGATTCTGTGCAGGCGCCGGTGTGATGGGAGGTGGAGCGGAGGACCCCGGATGGGTGGCCACCCCCTTCACAGGTGTCTGAGCCCTAGCCCAACTTGAAGTCAGGTCTCCAACCTGCTGGAGCAGCGAACACGCCGAAGCCCACCTTTTTAGCCTGAGAGGTGGATTCGAGGAATTACACTATTAGAGTTGAACTAGAGAATTATTCTTTTATGTCCTTATGCTTTCCTGCATCCTGACCCTAGCCATATTATGGTACAAACATTCAGAACAGACCTACTTGCAAGAAATACCAGAATGTTAAATATTTTTACTGCAAAAACCATGCTGCTCAAGTCATAGCCTTGTGAGTTGTGAAATGAGGGCCAAAGGTGAAAGCCTCCGGTATTGAGTTGGTTACAATTACTCCATATATTGAAGGAAAGTGAAGAGCACAGATTTGACTGCGTTAAGATGGCACCCTTAATAAGGAATATGGCATATTTATAAAATAGTTGTTTTTTCTCTTTCCTTTGGTCTTCCTACCCTCTCTCCAAAACTGACCCAATATTTTCAAGTGAAAACGTGCAAAATCAGTAATTTTGAGTTTAATTAGTACCCAATTTTATGGTGTACAAAAACAAAACTGTGAAACCATTTAAGAGTTCCTGGTATTGCTGAGACAAAAATAGAGAAATGAACAGCAAGCCTACAGAGATTATTGTTAAACCTACCTTTCTGTCTTTATGGTTGTAATTCTTTTCTTTCAAAACTTTTAAAAGTAATAAAAACACTGTGTTCTTCCCTACCCCAGAGAAAAAATTAGGCAAAAATGACACACCTATTGAGTAAATTGTCAAGTTACAAATAAAATCTGCTTTGATATATTTCTTCTAATTATCTTCTTCCAATAAGCCATTTCTGACTTCAAAGCTACTTCATAGTGAACTGGTGTTCAATTTTATGACTTGAATATATCAGAAACCCTTCCTGCTCTTGCTCTCTTTTTAGAAACCTTACAACCAGTTATTAACAGATACATGGTTAGAAGAATCTATAGTTGAAAGGATGGTCCAAGTTCCAGGATCACAAACTTGATTTCGCTACGAATTTTAAGCTCCTTCAGTTAAGCTACACTCCTGAATGACCACATTTAAACCCTTTATGTTCTGAAAAGAGAAAAAAGTTTGCCAAATAAAAAAATTTAAAAAAAGTGGGGGTCTTGATGAGACCAAATCCTCTGGGAAAAAAAAATGTTTATAATGGCTCTAAATTATACAAATAGCAAGATGTGTACAAATAGCAAGAAAACATAATTTTAGAGTCATGTCACTGCAAAACAACATGCTGTCAAAGAACTAGAGCAGAATTTCTTTTAGGTGATTTATGTGCGACTCCTTTCAAAACAAGAAATTCTTTCTAGGCCTCTAGTAATTGCTGAAATTACTTCTATCAGTTAGCAAAATATGTATAAACACAAAGCTGTATAAACTCATTCTTATAGCTGTTATAAAAAGCAAATTTAAAAATTGAATACAAAACTACAAATCAATACAATTAAAATGAATATTAATTTATTGAAGTAGATGATGTGTTTGGCTAAAAGGAAATCACTGTTGGGTTTATATTAGGTCAGAAAAGTCATGATGTATTTTGTCTGTTTTTCAAAGGTCATTTATTTATATAAAGAACAAAGATCAATCTGATATATTGCCCGTTTGTTCGATAACCTTTTGCCATCTTTCAGTGAGCTTCATAATTCCTCATTCATAGAAGGACCTGTCTTTATTTGCGAAAAACTGAACAAGGTGCTTATTTACAGCCTCATCTGAATTGAACGTTATATATACCACACAAGGAATTTTGAAGAGAGCGAAACAAGTGGAAGTCTGATGGTGCTTGGTCAGGAGAGTATGGTGGGTGTGGCAACACATGACATCCAAGCTCCAGTCATTTTTGATGAGTGATCAAACTTGTGTGTGGTCTCGTGTTGTCGCGATGGAACACAACTCCTTTACAATTAAGCTCTGCACGTTTCTAGATTCGTTCAAAGTGTCCAACTGCCGACAGTACACATTCGAATTGTCTGGTTCCTTGGTAGGAGCTCAAAAAACATGACACCTTTAAAATCCCACAACACTGAGAGCATAACCCTTCCTCTGATGAATATCTGCTTTCAATGTCATTTGAGGCGAATCATCACATTGGGATCAAGACCATTTGTGCACCACATTGTTGTAAACAATCCACTTCTCGTCACCAGTTACCAGTCACTTCAAAAAAGGATGGTTCTCACGTTTAATGAGCATATTGCAGATGTTTATATGTGCCGTCAAATGAACTTAAGTTCATGCAGAACCCAAATATCGAGCTTGCTCACGTATCCCAGCTTCTTCAGGTGGTCATGAACACTTGAATGATGGATGTTCAATGTTTCTGCAATCTCTTGTCGTGTAACGCGGTTTTGACTAGATCAATGCTTTTATCTTGTTGTCATCAACCTTGCTGGGCCTCCCTGGCTGAGGAGCATCATTGAGATCAAAATCACCAGCACAGAATTTTGTGAACCATCGTTGACACTGACGTTCTTGTAGAGCATTATCATCATAAACTTTATGCAACTTTTCACAAGTTTGGCGCGCGTTCTTCCCTTTATGGAAGTAAAACAGTAAAATATGGCAAAAATGCAGTTTGGTCTTCCATCTTCAACTTGTTTGTTGACTCAAGTATAACTACTCTGGTCATATTCAAAGGGCCCTCCTACACACACACACTGAATTTTTCTCCTTTCTGAATCTGCTGATGTGGTATTTCCTAGAGGAGTTAACCAGTCAGTACATTCATAAGATTTCTGTCTTGTATAGCTTCTCTGATATGTATTTAATAAGACTTTTTTCATGAAGGCTCTCTAGTACAAATAGTTTTTCACTCCGGTGTGTTTCCTGATATATAGAGAGGTAATCTGGCACTTGAGTGAATTTTGGGTAAAAGCTTTTCCATGGGAACTGCATTCAAATGGCTTGTTGACAGTGACTTTGAGCTGCAATCAAGACTGGCTTACAGGTGAAGGCCTTTTCAAATTCAATACATATATAGGTCTCTCTCTCTGCAGTGTGAGCATTAGTGTACTAAGATATTTGATCTTTTGGTGAATGCCTTCCCATATTTAATGCGTGTATAAAATTTTTCTCTTGAATGTTTGCAGTTATTCACTGAGGTGTGACTTCAAAGAATTTTCCAGTTACTGTTTCTCTCCAGTGTGAGTTCTCTGATGTTCAAATGTCTTAACGAAGGCCTGTTCACATTCAGCACACCCATTTCTGTTGTATACAAATTCTTCAAAGGAACCTGAATATTCACTAGTGGGCGAGGTCTTTCCTACTTTATCCCTTATGCTCACAACTCTACTTCCCACAGTAGCCTGGAGGTGGGTGGTTGTCTTAAGTTACAATCAGAGCTGCTGGGAGAGGCAGGCTAGTCTCAGGAATGATCTAACAGCCTTAACTTAGTGTTATTACCTGACATACCCAAAACTCCAAATCTTGTGGGTTTGAGAGAACTTAAAAAGGTTTAATGCTCAGAACACCTCAGGAACGAAATTGTTGGAACTCTCAATGTCAACAGTACACTGCCTGAGCACCACTTCTGCTTTCCTTACTTTTTATTGAAGGTCTACTGGTGAAGTACCTTAGCTTTTATTTGTCTAATAACATCTTTATTCCACCAGGACCTTTTCATTGGCATCTCCCCCACTCTCAGCAGTTTATAAAGATGTTATTCCATTGTCTTCTGTCTTTCATCGTTTCTATTGAGATATCAACTTCAGTCTTATTGGTGCTTCACTGAAGGTGAAAATCTCTGATTTTCAGCATTTTTGCTGTGGGTATCTGGGTGTTATTTTTAACATTTAGTTCTGCCTGATGGGAATTGGCCAAACTTTAATATATGGACTCTCTTCCATCAGTTTTGGAAATTTGTTAGTCATCTCTTTATTGTTCCTGCCTCATTCTCTCTCTTACAAGACTCCAAATTACATGTTAGACACAGAACATCTCCTGCTTCATTTGGATTAACTATTGATAATCTTGTCTTCCAGTTCACTAATTTTGTTTTCTGGTGCAATCTGTTACATCTAGAGTTCTTAAGTGTAATTCTATCCCCCCCCCCCCAATTCTAGAATGTCCTTTTAAAACAAAAAACTAAAAAATTCTTTTGATGAAATTTTTCACTCATTTGTTAACCTTTTGGGCTATTTTCTTTCACATTAAATCACATTTGTCATGGTCTAACTCCACAATCTAGATGATTCAACTATATTTTTCCCTTTGTTTTGCCACAATTATTGCTTCACATATCTACCGTATTTGCCGGCGTATAAGACGACTGGGCGTATAAGACGACCCCCTAACATTTCCACTCAAAATACAGAGTTTGTTATATACTCGCCGTATAAGACTACCCCCTCTTCCGCACACCTTCCACACACCAAATAAAAGGTAAAACAATATCAGATTTGACTTGGCCCACTGAAGTGCAAACAAGTGTATTGTATTTCGTGTCACCACATAACCGTTTTGGCGATGTTGAGCCACCATGTCTGCTACATGTTTTTCGAGTTCTGGCCAGTGTGGGGTGCCTCTTCTTAATGCACACTTACCCCTTGGCATACTCTTTAATGCTTTCTCATTTGATTTCCAGTCCCGAACCATCTTTTCTGTTACTCCATATTGTCTTGCAGCAGCACAATTATTATTTTCCTTAGCAAAGTTTATAACTTTCAGTTTAAAATTTGCATCATACTTCTTTCTTTTGGCTGGTGCCATGATAGGGATGATAGGGGTTTGACTGGTCGACATTTTCTATGCTGTACTGTACAATGGTGCAGTATTGTGGTTGGCTGTTGGCTGTATACAAAGCCTGATTTGATTGGTCCCTGCTCCCTGTTTGCCTGCCCTGTCACTATAGCAGTCTGGTCCACCCTTGCATCAGCATCTCCCTGGGACCTCACTAGTGCGCAAGTGCAAGCTCTTCAACATTCTAACAGGCACCATGATAGCGCAAAATCGCGACTCTTCAATGCATATGTAAAGAAATATACAGTAACCCGAATTTACCACACTCGCAAAATCGCACACAGCCCACCATACACCCAGTATGGTATCGTGATTCGCGATTTTGCGCTATCATACTGGGTGTATGGTCGGCTGTGTGCGATTTTGCGAGTGTGGTAAAATCGCATAACAGCAAAATCGCATAACAGCCGAGCATACACCCAGCAGCGCTGCTGATGCCTGAACGGTATGTGGAATGAAGTGGGCGGGCATCGGGAGGCCACTATGGCATGGGGCAAGCACTATGGGCAGTCTATCTGAAGTGTACCTGGCATATAAGACGACCCCCCACTTGGAGGCATATTTTTCAGGGCCAAAAAATCATCTTATACGCCGGCAAATACGGTAGTAATTTTTAAATTTTATGCTGGATATTGTGTATAAGAGAACTGTAGAGGCTCCAAGACAATTCCTTCTGAGAAGGGTCCCTTTCCTCTGTTAGACAAAGTTAAGAGTTTGGGTAAGATTTAGCCCAATTCATCTGTTCCTGGGGTATGGACCTAGAAAGTTTCCAATTAAGAACCTGGGCCTTTGTTTTCTCAGGCTTAAAAGGCTGCAAGGGATTCAGCTCTGCCTTTCAGAAATTTTCAGCTTAGTTTTTTAGCCTAAGCTCCAACATTTAACAAATGACCTTAACAGAAAGGCTGGCTATACTTCCAAGGCCTTTCAAAACTCCAATGTTGTCTGTCACTCCAGCCCTATGCAATCATTAAAAGCATAGCTGTTTTTCTTTCCCTTCACATGGTCCTGACTGGGCCAAATCCAGATGCCCAGAC